CATTTGGTGTATAGATACCTATTATTATTATGTCCTCTTGTTATATTGACCCTCTCAGCATTATGTAGTGACCTTCCTTGTCCTTTGTGATGGTTTTTACATTGATATTTATTTTATCAGAGATTAATATCACTACTCCTGCTTTTTTCTGGTTGCTGTTTGCTTTGTATATTTTTCCCCCGCCCTTTTATTTTCAGTCTGTCTTTATTTTCATTTTTCAGGTATGTCTCTTGTAGACAACATATTGATGGGTTTTGGCCTTTTATCCAGTCTGCTACTCTTTTTCTCTTCAGCGGTTCATTTAAACCATTTACGTTCAGTGTGATTATTGAGAGGCAAGGTTTTATTGCTATCATTGTGTTGAGTTCTTTTTGGTGTTGTTGCTACTTACTTTGGCCCATGATGCTTTCTTTCATGACGTTATCTCTTTAAGAAGGACATCTCTGAGTCTTTCCTGCAATGCTGGTCTTGTTTTTACATACTCCCTTAGGTTCTGCTTTTCTGGGAATATCTTGATCTCTCCTTCATATTTGATGGATAATTTTGCTGGGTACTATATTCTTGGTTGACAGTTATGTTCTTTGAGTGTTTGATATATGTCCTTCCACTCTCTTCTTGCTCGCATGGTTTCTTTTGAGAAATCGGCACTTAATCTTATCTGCTCCTCTTTATAGTTTACTCTTTGTTTCTCCTTGCTGCTTTCAGGTTTCTCTCTTTATCTTTAGTTCTGACAAATTTAACTATGATATGCCTTTTTTTTTTTCTCTTGGGGTCTAGTCTATATGGTGTTCGCTGAGCTTCTTGTATATATATTCTCTCATTCTTCATTATGCCTTGGAAGTTTTCTTCTAGTAATTCTTCCACACTTTTTTAGTGCCTTTACTTGCTTCTTCCTGTTCTGGGATTCCAGTGATGCACATGTTATTTCTCTTGATGGTGTCCCACATTATTGTTGGGTTTTCTTCTTTTTCCTTCCTTTATGAGTCTGCTTTTTGCTCTAGCAGATCAGTGGTGACACTTTTGTCTTCTATTTCACTGGTTCTTTGTTCCATCTCTTCAACTCTGCTAATGTGTCCCTCCATCATGTTGACAGCATCTGAAACATTGGACCTCATATTTTGGATAGTGGTTTCTTGTTTTTCCAGTGCTGCTAATGCCTCCTTTGTTTTCTCTATGCTGTTCTGGACTGGTTTTTGGTTTTTGTTTGTTTGTTTGTTTGTTTGTTTGTTTTAGTTCCTCCTGGTTTTTGCTTGTGATGTCCTGTAATTCTTCAAGTTTGTCTTTCATCCATTGAAAATATTCAATCATTGTTCTTTTAAATTCTGTGTCAGAAAGTTCCATCAGACTTTCTGGCTTCAGGAAATCCATTGATAACTGTGTCACCATTTGTGAGTAACATCTCAATTTGTGCATGTGTATTGTGTGGGACAGCTTGCTTTCTTCAAGACATCGATATGTTCTTGATCTGACGATAATGCTCTAGAGATCAGTTGGGTAGCTATCCCACTTGTGTTTTTCTCTGAACATATGACTCCAGGGAAATGTCAGTTCATAGCCTGTGAGAGCAGCCTCTTGTAGGTAAGACAGGTCAGGGTGCTCTGGATTAAAGGCAGGTTGATTAACCAGATGTGTAGACACAGGTGTGGAGCCAAATGGGGTGGGGCATGCACATGATTGGGGCATCCACAAGGGCAGGTCAACCACTTGGGGGACCTCACTCAGACCTCAGTTGTCTGGGTGTGCTTACAATTGGGGTCCCTATTCAAATTCCAGCTGTCTATCTCCCACCCAGTGGTTTTCATTCACTGGTCCCCATCCAGTGGTGCTCACACAGTTGCCCTTGCACAGTGGCCTCTGCCCAGGAAGGGTCCTGGGTCTAAGGGGATTCAACAAGACGGAGTCAAATTCCCACCAACCCACTCTCCTCTGGCTGGTCTGCAGTGTCCACAAAAGTTCAGCCAAATGATCACTGGCCTGCTCATTCCTGGGCAGTTGGAGAGAGAGGTCAGCCAAATTCCCTCCAGTGGGGTCACCCTTGGGTACTCTCCCAGACAATCAGCGGTGCCCAAGAAAACCCAGTTAGGATCCTGCCAGTCTTTCTCGTGGCAGATCAGTCCCATAGCAGCTCAATTGGTGGCTTAAGACAATGGCTTGATCTGCAGTGTTCCTTTGTGTGCTGACTCAGAATCGTACTGTCCACGGCTGTTGGTAGGTCTCTGTGCTGCGTGAAGGAGTCTCTAGTGGCCCTGGAGCACCGCCAGGGGTGCAGGGTTTTGGCGAGGCCACCAGAGTGTGCCAGAAGTGTGGGGGCGCTCGATGGTGGTGAGGTGGTGTCCCTGAACACAGTGCTGTGGCGGGGGTGGGGGTGCAGGGCTTGGGCAGCACTGGGAGTTAGGGGTTGCAGTTTGTTCCCAGATATTAAGCTGCCAAGTCACCAGTCCTCAGCAAATAAGACTTCGTGCGCCACTGCCCTTGTGCGCCAGTTTTGTCTTCTTAAATTACTCTTTAAAATCAGCTGTTCAGCTCTCTTATTTCAGTATCTCTTCCTTTTGCTTGGACTCCTGTGTGCACTAGTGCAAGTTTCAGAGTCTTCTGACTTCTGTTTTGGTCTTTTCTTTCTCTCTTGTGTGTAATGTCTTTTCAATTTCTTCATTAATTATGTCCTCATTATCATTTACTACTCATCTGATCTTTAGTCATTAGTATTCAGTACTATCAAATCTATTTCTGAGATGGTTTTAAATGTTATCTATACGCACATTCTTATAGTGAGCTCAAGCACAGCAGCGATTGTGAGGTTCGCTCAGGAGAGGGCTCGCTTCTGACCTTTTGTTCGTAGTTCTGAGTAGTAGTCAATTGAATGGCAACCAACCACAGCAACCTAATCCAGTTACTGATTTTTCTTCCTTTCTGCTTCCCTTCCCATCCCTGGTAATCATCCAGGAGTGATTCTGTCTATGTGTGAAACCTTTCTTGAGCTTTTTATCATAGTGAAATCCTTTTGTATCATATAGTCTTTGTCCTATGGTGGCTGACTTGGCTTACCCAGTATACTGTCCTCCAGATCTTCTGGGTGGTGTAATGTTTAGAGAATTCTTCAGTGTTGCATAGTATTCCATTGTGTGCATGTACCATTGCAGAGCTATACTTTTAAAAGAGGAGATCAAGTAGCATCTCAGCAGAGTGACTTCCAGGTCCCACTCTTGTGACGCTCTTAGCAAATTTGGGTTTTAGGGACCAGATTGTGATTTCCTGAGAGGATAATTATGGTGACTGTGCTGAATGAGGATGATTTGCTGAATGGTGACAAGCTGCCTCTGTTGTGTCTTCTAGCCTGATGAAAGATTACTTTTTCAAGCCACCCATTAATCAGTTCAGCTTGAACTTTCTGGACCAGGAGCTTGAGCGAACCTACAGGACCAGCTACCAGGAAGAGGTGCGTTCTTCCTTTTCATGTAAAATTTTGCTCTTTTCCCTGGGCACACACGGCCACTTTACTCATTTTCTTCTTATTGTGTATTCCATTTCGTCATGTAACTGTTGGGCCATGGATCTTTCTCTCTGGGGTCTAAATGCCCTGAGCCTGCCCTCATTCTTTGCTTCCAGCCTTCTTACCTCAGCCCTACAGGTGCTCAGGGGACAGGTACACAAACCCAGGGCTGGGCCAAGACCTGAGTCACAAGATCCCTGCCTTCAGTTCTCTGGGACAAACCTAATGTCTCTTCCTGTTTTCACCTAAAACCCAGGCCCACTACCAGCAAGTTGATTCCAACTCGTGGTAAAACCCACAGGGACCCCTGAGAGTTTTCAAGGCTATATTGTTTAAGGAAACAGACTGCCTCACTTTCTCCCTCAGAGCAGATGGTGGGTTGCACTGCAGATCTTAACAGCCAAGTACTTTGAACGCAGTGCCACTGGAACTCTTCTCTGCATTTTGAACCAAAAACCAAAAGTTGCCCCTGTTAAGCCAGTCTCAACTCCTGGTGACCCTCATAGGGTCTCCGTGGCTGTGAATCTCTTCACAGGAGAAGATAGTCTATCTTTCTCCTTTAGAGCAACTGGTGAATTCAAACTGCTGACTTTTTTGTTAGCAACGCAATATGTAACACACTGAGCTATCAGGGCTGCTATGTCCTCATATTAATGTAGGCTAAAATGTGCATCCCTCCAAGCCTAGAGTCCAGAGGCTTTTCCTGTAGGTGTGACCATTCATCCCACACTAACTCAGGCTCTAGGCCCCTGGCTCAAGCTCTGGAGACAGACCAGCAGCCCATCAAGGGGTGGGAAGTTCCAGGAGGAAGTGGGCTGTGCTGGATGGAAGCCACCCCAGGGCCAGCAAGCTCCGATCAGCAAGGGTGGGCTATTGAGGACTGTATTGCCTCCCTTGGACTACCATCTTTGAAGGAAATTTCAGAGACCAGACTGACTTCCCGATACCCAGACACATGCAGAACAGTCCAGTCTCCTGGACTCACAGGAGGGGCTTCACAGGGACTCCTGGCTGTGACGGAAATAATATCAGAGCAAACTGACCATGTTCAAGCACACACTTCTCTTTGAGGGCACCCCCAACAGATTCCAGAAGCTTCTGACACAGCTGATGTGACCAAGACATCACAGAGCCCAGTTGTCCTGATTGGCAGACTTAGCCCAGTCCCTGCACCATCAGCACCCCCTGCAGCCTGGCCTGTGCTCCAGGCCCTATGGGGCACCATGCTGACACCACTGTCCCTTAGCTGGGCCAGCCTTGTGCTAGTGCACTGCTGTCTTTCTCAGCAGTGTCCATCTCCATTGCTGTGGTTGTTAAGTTCTGAGAAGCCAGCTCTCACTCACCATGGACCTGCTGGTCTCATGAGTCCCTCATAGTCACCACTGCACTGGAGCCTTTACTGCAGCCACTTCTGAGAGTTCTCCGCCTGGGCTCACCTTCCAGCACTCTCCACAGCCTCCTCTGCTGGTCATAAGCTTGTCACTGGCCAGCTTCTCAGTAGACCACCACACCCTTTTTTCTGTTGTACCACAGTTTGGAAGCTCTGCTGAAACCTGTCCACCATGAATACTGTGCAGCTAGCTGTGTGACATACCGTGGCATAGCTTCCCACATCACAGAACCCACAGCCACCACCATCCAATGAGCTGGGACACGAGTGGTGGACCCTCCTTCAGAGCTGGCTTTCCTTCCTAAGAGACACTCAGGAGTGTTTGCAGGAAGGGACTTGAGGGTCAGGGCACCATCTAGGTGGGATCTAGCTTTGCTGCTCTTCATCTGAGATGCTTTGGGGTGGCAAACACTTCTGTCTCCCAGTGTGTGCATGGGGGCCAGCCTATCCTTTTGGGCCTGATGAGGGCACTCACTGAGAGAGTGTGTGCATGGTTCACCTAGTGCCTAGCCTGTCCCACCCCAAGACATGTGAGTTCTATGAGTCTTCTTCCCTCACCTTCCTGTGTATGCCTGGGCTGGTATGCCACCTTATCATCCGCTCTGGGAAACCTGCTTCCCCCTGCACTCTGAGTGCTCTGAAGGTGCTGTCAGGCCATGGCAGACCCCTGGCATCCCACAACTTGCATCCAACATTCAACACTGAGCACCCAGCCATCCAGCACCCAGCACTCAACACTGAGCACCCAGCCAGGTAGCACCCATCACCCAGCACTCAGCCAGACAGCTTTCTGCCAGGCAGCTCTCAGTACCCCAAACCCAACAAAATAGCACCTAGTACTCAGCACGCATCACTTAGCCAGGCAGGACCCAATACTCAGCCAGCCAGCACCCAGTACTCAACACCGAGCATCCACCCAGGCAGCATCCATCACCCAGCACTTAGCCAGCCAGCACCCAGTACTCAGTACCCAACACCCAGCCAAATAGCACCTAGTACTCAGCACTTAGCACCCAACCAAGCAGCACCCAACACATAACCAGGCAGCACCTATCACCCAGTACTCAGCCAGGCAGCAGCATCCAGCGCCCAACCAGGTGGCACTCATCACCCAGCACTCAGTCAGCCAGCACCCAGCCAGGCAGCATCCATCATAGGCAGTACCTATCACCCAACACTCAGCCAGGAAGCATAAGCACCCAGCCAGGCAGCACTCATCACCCAGCACTCTGTTAGGCAGCACCCAAGCCCCCAGCCAGACAGCACCCAGCCAGGAAGCACTTAGTACCCAACACCCAGCCAAATAGCACCTAGCACTCAGCACCCAAATCGGGCAGCACTCAGCCAGGGAGAGTGGGCCCCTGAATGGGAGTTGGGGATCTTTCACCCAGTCTTAAAAGAGAGCTAAGCCACTGCCATCCAGTCAATTCCAGCTCACCCAAAACCCTGTAAGACAGACTGAAACTGCCCAGTAAAGTTTTCTAGACCGTAAGTCTCTATGAAGCAGACTGCCTTACCTTTCTCCTTCAGAACAGCTGGTGGATTTAAACTGCCAGCCTTGCTGTTAGCATCCCAGCACTTTACCCACCATGGCACCAGGGGATCAGGTACCAGTCTCACATCTCCACCTATCACTCCCATAAGGACTGCAGCTTCCGCTCACCCTGCCCCTGGACTCAGCCACTCCTGGGATGCCTCCTGCACTCTGCTTCAGTGAGACTGGCTTTACTGAAAGGACCCTTGGCACCATCATAGTCGAAACACTCAGCTGCGAAACAAAAGGTTAGCAGTTCACACCCACCAGCCAGTCACTCTACTGTCCACTTCTGTAAAGATCTACAGCCTCACAAACACGATAGTGGGTCACCATGAGTTCAGATCGACTTGACAACAGTAGATCTGAGCTTTACTGAAAAGGTGGCATGATGTTTCAGCACTCAGCTGCTAACCATAAGAGCAGTTTGAACCCTCCAGCTGCTCCATGAGAGGAAACAACCTGCTTCCATTGGGATTTAGAGCTTGGAGGGTTTATGGTCCACAGTGGCAGTGGGTTCAGTTCTGCGTTACCAAAAGCCATGTGAATCAGCCAGCCTGTGCTTCAGGTTAGGGCACCCCTGGTCGCACCTGGTCACTCTGGCCCCTCAGTTTCTCTGTTGTTGACTGGAAGGTAGTTGGTGGTCCCTCGCCTCAGGCATCTGCCATACCAAGACTGGTCTAGGAAGGCACCTACTTCACTTAAGTGACACACACCATGCATCACAGTCCTTCCTCTGTTCCTAACAGGTCATAAAGAATTCTCCCGTGAAGACGTTTGCCAGCCCCACCTTCAGTTCCCTCCTGGATGTGTTTCTGTCGATGACAGTGTTCCTGGTCCTTTCCATCACCTGCTTCCTTAAGTATGGGGCCACCGCCTTGCCACCACCCCCCACGGCTCTGGCTGTCTTCTGTGTTGCCCTGCTTCTGGAGGTGCTGTCCCTCATCGTCTCCATCAGGTGGGCAGTCATCTGGCTCAGTGATGTGGCTGGGCCCCCTGCTTACAGCACAACAGCACAGATTCTCCCAGCATGTCCTAGGGACAGGCCTTATTTCTTTCCCTCTCCAGATCATGCTTCCATGATACTGACCCACATCACAGGTGAACATCGTCCTTGGTAGATGCTCAGTGCCATGTTATATGTATGTACATGCTATGTTTATGAGCACACTGAATGCAGAAAGCATGGTGTTTATGATTTGACAGTCTGCTTCTATAAAGATTACAGCCTTGGGAGTCCTGTGGGGCAAGTCTGTGCTGTCCTGCAGGATCCTAGGAGTGGGAATTGGCTCGAGGACAATGGACATGGGAGGCTGCCAAACTTTACAGGAGGAGAATGGCCCCCTCTTTTTCTCTCCCTAAGAGATGCTGGTGAGCTCAAACCCTTGGTATTTTGATCAGCAGCCTGATACTTTATGCATTGTAACACAAGGACGCCTGACTATGAGTTCCTAGGTGGTTGTTGTTACGTGCTGTTGAGTCACCTGTGACTCATAACAACCCTGTGTAGAACAGCCCTAAACCCTGCTCTATCTTATGTCAATCTTACTGTCTCTGACACACCTACCCTCACTACCCTAGTCACTGAATCAGTCCATCTCATTGAGAGTCTTCCTCTCTTGTGCTGTCCCTCCATCCTCCCAAGCATGATGCCCCTCCCCAAGGATTGGTCCTGCCTTGTAACAGGTCCAAAGTATGTCAGACAAAGCTTCAGAATCCTTGCCTCCAAGGAGCAGCCTAGTCTCATCCTCTCTAGGATGAACCTGTTTGTTCTCTTAGCAGTCCATGGTATATTCATTACTCTTCTCCAGCATCACAGCCAAAATGCATCAATTCTCCTATCATCCCTAGTCTTTGTCCAGTTTTCTGATGCATAGCAAGTAATTGCAAAGATATGGCCTGGGTCAGGCACACCTTAGTCTCCAGACTTGTTTTATTGCTCTTCAGTCTGGAGAGGTCCCTGAAACCAGACTTTCTCAGTGCAATTCATCTTTTGATTTCCTGACTGCTGGTACCAAGAGTGTTGATTGTGGAACCAAGCAAACGAAACCTATTAATAATCTCAATCTTTTCACTATCTATCATGATGCTGCCAATTGGCCCAGTGGTGAGAATCTTTGTTTTCTTGGTATTGAGCTTCAATCCATACTAAAGGCTGTAGTCCTTGACCTTCTTCAGCAAGTGCTTCAGGTCTTCCTCCGTTTCAGCAAAGCAGGGTTTGTCATCTGCATAACACAGATTGTTGATGAGTCTACCTCCAAACCTGATGCCACATTTCTCCTTATAGAGGTCAACCTCCTGGATAATCTGTTCTGCATATAGATTGAAAAGGTATGGAGATAGGATGCATCCCTGGCGTATACATTTCCCAATTTTGAACCATGCAGTGTTTCCTTGCTCTGTTCAGGGAGAGATAATTTATTTTAAAGAACTATCTCCCACAATTGGTGGGGACCAGGAAATCCAAATCCTACAGGCCAGGCTGAGGGCTGGGACAACCCCCAGGTGTTCTCTTGCACCCTTGAGATCAGATTCTCCACCTAGTTTGTTCCTTAGGCCTTTAATTTGTAGGAAGCCCTCATATCTAACAGGGTGGCTTGTCCCTACAGGACCATGACCTTCACAGCAGCTCAGCTAGTGCTTCCCACACAGCTGAGCACAGAACCTGACAGGTTCTCTGAAGTCTACCTCACAGATACCGTTAGAACAGGGAAGCCACACAAAATAAGACCTGTAAAAACCCATGACCAGTAATAATTACCTCTGATAATAAAAGCCCAAAACATGATAAATAAGTTTAAAATAAAGGGATAAATTAATGTATAAAGGAAAAGATAAAAACCTTCCACAGTCTAAGAAAGCCTGTTTTTCTAAAGTCAACATGAGATGCCGAAGGGTGGACATTTGCCACAGAGGTGCAAAGAGCAGATCCTTGACACGCCATCCACACAGAGTCCACTATGCACACCACCCATGCTGTGCAACCTTAACCCCCTCAACACCCCCACAGTACACCGTGTACCCCACTCACCCTGTCCATCCTTAACCCCTCACCACCCCACATATACAGAGTCCACTGTGCATCCCACCCACCTTCAGTGCCCCCTGCACCCTACCCACCAAAGGTCCAGTGTGCCCACTCATGCTGTCCACCCTCAGCCCCCTCTGCACCCCACCTACACACAGTCCACTGTGCATCCCACTTACCCTATCCACCCTTAACCCCCTCAACACCCCACTCACACAGAATCCATTGTGCATTCCATCCACCTTGTCCACCCTCAGCACCCCACCCACACACGGTCCACTGTGCACCCCACTCACCCTGTCCACCCTCAGCCCTCCTTAACCCCACCAATGCACAGTCCAACATATGCCCCACTCACCTTGTCCACTCTCAGTCCCCTCTGTACCCACCCACAGTACACCTGTGCATCCCACCCTGTTCACCCTCAGCGCCTACTAAACCTCACCCACACACAGTCCACTGTGTACCCCACCCATCTTGTCCACCCTCAGCCCCCTCTACACACCCACTCAGCCTCCCCCACAGGCCCAAGGACACCTCTTTCTCACCCTCAGTCATGGGACCCCTTATAGCTATAGCTTCCTCCTCCCATACTCCTTGTCCTCACAGGATGGTCTTCTTTCTGGAGGATGTCCTGGCCTGCACCAAGCAGCTGCTGGAGTGGATCGCTGGTTGGCTCCCCAGACATTTTGTTGGTGCCCTCCTGGTCTCCATTCCTGCCCTTGCCGTCTACTCCCACATAACTTCTGAGTTTGAGACAAACATCCATGTAAGTGGAGGCTAGGTGGTTGACTGCGGTAACAAGTGCTTGAGGTGCCCTATGAGGATGGGTGTGGTATAGGGGGCTTTGTCTATGTTCAGAATGGTACCATGGGATGAAGTGTGTCCTGCAAAATTAGTGTTAACGTGCCTGGGCCATGATTCTCTATAATTTCATTATTCTATATGTAGTTAATCCTGACATCTGCATGTTAATGATTAGAGGCAGTTTTATAACAATGTCATCATCCCCACTCACATGATCTGAGATGTCAGCTGTGAGGGGACTGGGTTTGACTCAGCATCCTTCATTATTAGTTCAGAGCCCTAATGTGATGAAAGGAGTTTCCCCAAGGTGTGGCTTATAGCACATTTTTTTAAAAAATTGAGATTTTAGTGAATGTTTACAAAAAGATTGGTTTTTATTTATTCATACACATTTTCTTCCCTCCTGAATTTCACTTTGTTGCACTTATCCTGTTCCACATTGTTAATTATCGTACATATAATGTCTGATCACCCATTCCTTTCAGATTGTCATACCTTTCTGCTGTTTCTATTCATTATCTATTCACTTTTTTCTGCTTTCCCCTCCCCTGTGTCATCCTGTTTTTATAACAGTGGTCTTAATGTAATATTTGTACTTCTGTAACTAAGATAGTTCATGCAGCATAATGTCTTCTAGACTAATCCATATTGTGTAGTGTTTTACAAGTTCATTGTTTTTTACTGCTGCATATTGTTCCACTGTGCGAATGTACCATAGGTACTTTATTTATTGGTGTTGATGGGCACATGGACTGCTTCCATCCTTTGCTGCTGTGAATAATGAAGCAGTAAACATGGGTGTGCATACACCTATTTGTGCCACAGCTTTGATTTCTTTAATATAATGGGATATCTAGGTCAAATGATATTTATATTCCCAATGTTTTGAGGAAGTGCCAGACCACCTTCCATAGTGGTTGTAACATTTTGCATTCCCACTGGCGGTGAATAAGAGTTCCAGTCTCTATAGCCTGACCCAAATTTGCTGTTTACTGTCCTGTTGAACTTTGCTATTGTTACTAGAGTCAGATGATATCTCATTGTTGTTTGGATTTACATCGCTCTGATACCTAGTGATTTTGAACATTTTTTAAATGTGTTTGCTGGCCATCTGCCCTTCTTTGGTGAAGTGTCTATTAATCTCTTCTGTCCATTTTGTGGTTTGGTTATTTGTTTTATTTTTTCTTAATGTTGCATTGGAATATTCTATAAACCTTATCAAATACATCATTGCTAAATATCTTTTCCTAGTCTGTGGGCTTCCTTTTTACTCTTTTGGAGAAGTTTTTTGGTACACACAAGGATTTTATTTCTAGGTCTCATTTATCTATTACCTCTTGGTTGTAGATTTTTTTATTATGCTTGAACATCTACTCATGCCATGGAGTAGGGTTTCTAGATTTGTTCCTAGGTTTTCTTTGATGAGCTTTGTTGGTTTCACTGCTAGGTTTCTGATTCACCTTTAGTTGGGTTTTGTGTATGGTGTGAAGTGTTGGCTCTTGGTTCAGTTTTTGCAGCTGAATGTCCCTTTTTGCCAGCACCATTAAAGAGTCAGTTTTCTTCCCACATTTTCTCTCACGAAAGAACAAAAGGGGAAGGGGACCTCAGGACCTCAATAAAGAACATGGGGAGTGGAGAGCAGTCTGTGGCCAGGTCCCTGTATTGGGGAGCTCCTTCCCAGGGAAGTCTAGGACAAACGGAGGAAGGCAGAAAGAAGCAGGATCTGCTCCCCTAGGGCTGGCACCCTAAATCTGAGCTTCTGGTCTACTAAACTGTGAGAGACTAATACTTGGTTGAAGCCACTTTCTTGCTGTGTCTCAGGTATAGCACTGCTAGAGAAGGAAGGCAGAAGGTCTGGATCTCTTTCTGCCACTTTGTCCTTACCAGTTTCCTCTTGCTCATCTCCCCAGCCAGTGTGCACTAGACATAGCGATCTTCAGATCACAAGCATGACCAGGTTCAGGACTCCCCAGGTTCTGTACTACACTGCTACCGCCCCAGTAGCAGAAAAAAAGAATCCCTGTTCTGAATGGAATTTAGTCCTTTAGTAAAGGAATTAAGGTTCCAGCACCTAAAACTCAAAACTCCAACAGGTTTTCCAAGGCTGTCAAAACCTACTCTCAGTCATCAGACCTGTTTCCCCTAGGAGAGGCTCCTGGATGGAGCACAGCTGCCCCATAAGGTGTCCAAGACTTTTATCTTTCAGGAGGCAGATTAAGGAGGGGCTGCTGTGTGCAAACCCCGAACCTTTCAATTAGTAGCTGAGCGCATTAACCACTGTATCCACAAGGCCCCTCCAAAAAGTATTTTTTCACTGTTGGAGATGAAAATCCAAGTTCAGATGCCTTCCTGGAGGAAGTTGTTGTCTCTGTGTCAGATCTGTCATCTGTCTTCCCCTGCATCCAGGGGGTTCTCTGCACAGGGATCCCTACTCCAAAAGACACACTTACTACCAGTTCTTCTTTCCATGGTAGAAAGTGGAACCCTCTCTCTTTGCTGCTTTTTCTTTCTCTTGTAAAATAAAAGATGATTCAAGCCACCTCCAGGGAAACTCCCCTCAGGTCAAATCAGGGCTGTGACCTTGGTAGGATGTTATACTCCACCCTAATCCTTTTACAGCTGATTGGCTGGCCACATCGGTTCACATGATGGGAAGGATTCTATCTCTACTAACTGTTTCCAGTCCTGCCTCTGATATCATAGAGGTCAGGATTTACAGCACATAGATTATTCTATCAGATCACATCACAGGGGATGATGGCAGCTTTGCATAACTGCCAAACAACTGAAAGTTATTCCACTGAGAGGTTGGTGTAATTCTACCCACAATGACCACCAAATTGCATTTCTGGTGGTGGACAGCAGTGCAGGAGGATCCAAGGGAAAAGCTTTTTGATGGTAACTAATGACACAGGGTCATTGTCAAATGGAGCAGTCTACCATTTCTTTCCACCCAAATAGTGTACAATTAATTTTCACATCTCTGGAGGAAAAGTTTGAACTTATAAATTAAAACTCTGGATAATTGCACTCATGCGAAATCAAAAGAGTACTGCTGGACTAGGGAGAAAGCTTAGAAAGAAGGAAAATGAAGAACAATGAATGGGATCACAATGAATAAGAATCGCGGGGAGGAGAAGGAAAAGTTCAGGTACAGTGTGAGAATGACAGTATCACAAAACAGACTGATGCAGAAATGATTGCATGGAAAACCAGTTTCTTTTGTAAACTTGCTCAGATCACAATAGATTAAAAAAATAAGGCATAAGATTGATTTATCTTTTAGAGAGGGTAAATGGGGACACACCACTGGTCTTGGGACTTTGGGGCAGAAGCATGGGAGCCTGGGGTCACGCAGATGTGACAGATGAGAGTCCTGATGGGTCTGTCTGGTTGCAGTTCACCACGTCCATGTGCTCAGCCATCCTGATTGCCATTGTACAGTACTGCAACTTTTGCCAGCTCAGCTCCTGGATGCGGTCTTCCCTGGCCACTGTGGTGGGCGCAGGACCCCTGCTCCTACTCTACATCTCCCTGTGTCCTGACAGGTACGTGAGACATCGGCTAGTGCCCGCTGTGACAGATATAGACCCCCTGATGCCTCTTACTTCTCAGACAGCAGCCTGGGCTTGGCAAGAACCTGAACACCCTCTTACGAGGATACAGCACACCTCAGAGATGGGACAAGTTTCGTTCCATCCACCCCACAAACCCTCAGGGCAGTAAGACAAGTCACACGCACATGTGCTGGGAGAAGCTGTGCTGACATTAGAGTGTGGTTCACTCAGTGTGCAGTTCTCCCCATTGGTGGTCTTCTTGTCACTTTCCTCTGACTCCTGGCAAATCTCAGTACATCAGAAGAAAACCCTGTGTGGTTCCTAGTCTCGCCTGTGCTTAAACACATTGTTGTGATGTTGTTGTTATTTGTGGTTGAATCGACTATAACTGATAGCCACACTACAAACAACATATCTAAATGCTGCCCTACGCTTGTCTATCTCACCATCGGTCATGTTCAAGGTCATTGTGACAGTCACTGTGTGGAGGGTCTCCCTGTCTCTCACTGACCCTCCACCTTTCCAAGCACAATGTCTCCTTTCCAAGGGCTGATTCCTCCTGCTGAAAGAGTTTCAAACACTGGAGAATGACCCAGATGGCATCCAGCAACAGGAAGAGAGCCTGTGCTGTGGGGAAATAGTATTATGGGCAGTGACAGGCATGTTTGAAGCAGGGCTGCCTTGAATCCTCAATTTGTAAAACTAAAGCTATTTGTGAAATGTGAGAAAGGAAAACACAGTAAAACAAGGCATGCCTGTACTTCCTTTCCCAATTAAAAAGAGCTCTGGGCACATATGTTGGGAAATCGACAAAGTGCCCTGACAGTAACGGTCATAATGATGAATATTCTGCACTCTTGGCCACTGACCACAAGGTTGTCAGTTTAGGCTCACCCAGAGACACCTCCAAAGAACACACTGGCAGTGTGATTCCCAGCCCTGGGGAACACACAGTTTGTTGCACATTTGCAATTGGTTCTGTGGCTTTGTGCCTCTTTCAGCTAAATATATAGTTAGAAATGCAATTATCCCATGAATCACAGCACATGCCTATAGTGGGCTCTGAGTATTTTCATGACAATGCCTTTATTTCTCTAAGCTGGTCAATAACAGCTTCTCCAGAGTACTCAGCTTTTCCTTAGTTGCTTGTAAGAACCATTCCACTGTTGTTGTTGTTGGGTGCTATCATGACAGCACCAGTTCACAGTGATATCCTCACAGTCTCCTCCACTGAACTTGGACCCATTGTGGCAATCACTGTGTCATTCCATCTCATTGAGGGGGTTTCCTTCTTTTTCACCTTCCTCTTTTCTGACCATGATATTCTTCTCTATTGATTGATTCCCCCTGGTAGCATGCCCAAAGTATATGAGAAGCCTCACCATCCTTGCCTCTTATGAGTCTTCTGACTGATCTTATTCCAACATGAATTTGTTGATCTTTTAGCAGTCCATGGTATATCCCATACTGTTCACCAGCACCATGGTACAGTCATCAGTTCTCCCATCCTCCTTATTTGTTGTCCAACTTTGATATGCATATGAAGCAAGTGGAAATACCATGTCTTAGGCGAGGTGCACCTTAATGTTTGAATTGACATTCTTACTCTTTAGCACTTCAAAGAAGTTTTTAGCAGCACATTTGTCCAATGCAGTGTACTATTTGATGTCTGACTGCCACATCCATGGGTGTTGATTCCATTGTTAGTGTATTTAAAAAAGCCATCTATTTGTACTTGCAGAGACTTTAGGCTAGCAAGGCATGATGTCTTTTTCCAAGAACTGGTCTCTCCTGACAACATGTCCAAAGTATGTGAGATGTAATTTCACTATCCTTACCTCTAAAGAACACCCAAGCTGCACTTCGTCCAAGTCAGACTTGTTTATTCTTTTGGCAACCCATAGGATATTCAGTACTCTTCTTCAGCTCCACAGCTCAGAAGTATCATTTGTTCTTCTGTCATCCTTATTCATTGTTCAGCTTTCACATGCATAAGAAACAATTGAAAACACCATGTGTTGTGCCAGTGACACTTTCATCTTTGAAGATACAAATCCTTGACAACATCGATCTTTTCTCCATCTATCATGATTTGTCTAGTGGAGAAAGGTTTTGTTTTCTTGACTTTGAGATGTAATATGTTTTGAAGACTGTGATTTTGTATTTGCTGAAGGAAGTATTTTAGTTCCTTTTTACTTTCTGTAAGCAAGGTTGTATCATCTGCATAAATTATCAAAGATTTCCATAATCAATACCATGGAATCAGCAGTCAAGGCATCAGATGTTGTATTGCATCAGGCACATCTGCCACTAAAAATCTCTTTAAAGTGCCAAAGAGCAAGAATGTCCATTTAAAGACTAAGACCCTTGGCAAGCTCTGGTGGCCTAGTGGCAGGAAGCTGCACTTCAATCCTAGAGGTACGCAGTTTGAATCTACCAGATGCTCTGCTGGAGAAGGAGGCACAATCTCCTCCGGTACCAATCAGATTTGTTTTGACGGTACACACACACACACACAAAATAATAAAATAAAATAATTGAAAAAAAAAAAAAAGACTAAGACCCAAGCCAGGATATTTCACTTGCTTCATACGCATGTGAGAGTTGGACAATGAGTAAGGAAGGTGGATGAACTTATGCCTTTGTGGTGCTGGCCATGGACTGCCAACAGGACAAACTAAGATGTGTGGGGAGGAGGTCAACAGCAGTGCTCCTTAGAGGCCAGGATGGTGAGACATCATCCCAGATGCTTTGTAAAAGTACCAGTTCCTGGACAAGGACACTTGCTTAGGAAGGTGGAAGGTCAGAGAGGAAGATGAAGGGCCTCAATGAAGTGGATTGACTTAGTGACTAACAATGGGTGTAGACAAAGTAGAGACTGTGAGGACGGCAAAGGACAGGACTAGGTTTACATCTGGTGTGCTGTGAGTCAGAGTTGACTAAACACCACTACCAAAAGCAGCAGTGATTTTAACACCTGGTACCAAATTATAATGAGAATGACTACCCTGAACATCTGATTTTATCTCTACTAAGGAAAAGATAGCTCTGGTTTTGCTCTTCTCATGTGACTTCATGAAAAGCATTTTATACTTTTTTATATTAATGTTTTCCTGCATTTTGTTTCAGTTCCATGGTGACAGCACACATGGCTGGCATACAGAATGTCAGGTAAGCTTGTGATTGTGCATTTGTTTCAGGCAGAGAGGAGCAGTCAGGCAGGAGGGGCTGTAAGCCTTCTGCTTGCTACTGAGCAAGTCTGGAGTAAAAGGAACAGTATGTGTACACCAAAAACGCAAGTGGAAGTGGAGAGCGTCGACTTGTTAACACAGCAGATCATAGGGCATCTTTATGGGAAAGAGGGTTGAATTTTATGTAAAACAGTAAGCGTAAGCCCTTGAAAGCTCTGACAGGCGTGGTCTTGGACGGAAGTGAGGATTGAGGACAGGCGTTTCTCACAGGCATCTCTCAAAGGTAACAGGCTTTCCAGCGGGAACAAGCCCTTGAAAGCTGTGACAGGCGTGGTCTTGGACGGAAGTGAGGATTGAGGACAGGCGTTTCTCACAGGCATCTCTCAAAGGTAACAGGCTTTCCAGCGGGCCCTCGGGCAGAAGGAAAAACATAATCGACACAGAAGTTCTACAGGACACGGCACCTTCCCTTGGAGACACCACAACTAAACTTAAGAGACATGTCAGCCGTCAATGTTTTTGGAATCACAGAAGCCAAGAAAGGCTTAAGATACAAACTGCCAGATCATGGGTTGGACAATGGAAGATATTTTTCTGAAGGGACTTGGTAGATGA